TTAAATTTTTATTTTTAAGAAATTGGTTTAAATTTAATAGTTATTGTTAATTTTCTATTAGATTTTAAGAGCAATTGTTTAATGAAATTTAATGGAAACATTTAAATTTAGGTTGATTTCTTAAAAATGGAAATTTGTGGTAGTAAATTGTGTCAACAATTTTTTAGGCTGATAATTTACTCCAATGCAACAATTTTAAGGAGTAATTTATCCATTTGGTGAATATTGATGTTGTATAATTCATGCATAACAGATTACATATTTTATAGTTATCGATAGAAAGATTGACTCCAATATTAAATAATCTATTTCTCATCCATAGTTGGACCAACAGCATATCACTTTTCTTATATTAATATAGTAATGTCTACTCTATGATATTCTTTTCCTTAATCATGTGTGATTGCAAGAATTGAGATATTTGCATAATTGCATCTGAGTTCTTGATCAAACTTCTCCAGTAAAATCCAACCCAACGAGTCATTAATCGAATGGTTGAATAAAGTTCTGAGTGAGGTTTCGTATTTGAATTTTGTGCTTGGAGAAAAAAAAAAGACTATTTGACGGTCTTTCGCATGTCAGTATCTTGCTAAGAATACTGCATTGGCAGAGAAGGCGAGAGGAAAGCTGGGGTCTTGATTCTTGACAAGAGAAGAGTAGGGGGGGAATATGGGACCGGGGGAGGGACATAAGTTTAATGGAGGATAGCGTGACTTCGTGCTCTATTCCGTGACACAGTTTGCTTGGCAACTTTTTGAATCTGAATTTTTTTCTCCCAATCCATTTCAATCCACAATCATTGAGAAGGTCTGTAGCGACAACCAAAGAGAAAATCTTGAAAGAGCCGTCATTTTGAAGGGCCCTTGTCTTAGCATGATATGGAACATTGGGGCTGATATCAGATGTGGATCGGTGTGGTATACATTATTGTGTTGAGTGGAAAGTCCCACATTAAATGTATAATAAAAAATATATATATGTTAAATATAAAAATTTTTATTTTACTTGGTATTAATTAGTTTTAATTTAAATATAAGTCTTGTATTAAATCTACATGTATATGCATCTAAAGGGGTAAATTTCCATATATAACAAATGCCAATTGGTCTACATGCACAATTTTTTTCACAAGATGGCATTAGCCAGGGCGTCATATGGGGCGTCACTTTCTTCCCCACACCCACCAAGTAGACAGATGGGACAATACCCTTCTCTCAAAAAGGCAAGACCTTATTGCATGGGCTGTTTTAGGCTTTCACATACATTCCTTCAATCGTTGGGTTGTATAATTAGTAATTTTTGGCAGGGAACAACACAGACAAGAGGAAAATTCATTGGCTGCGCTGGGAACTAATGTGTCTGCGTCTTGGCTTTAGAGACTTTCAAGCTTTTAACTTGGCCATGTTAGCCAAGCAGAGCTGACGGCTGACGCATAACCAAGATACTTTTTGCTACCCCAATTAATTGAGGCCAAATATTGTTTCTGATGGCGACTTATTGGGAGTAACTCTTGGAAATAATCCCTCAACGGTGTGGGCTGTGGGCTGTGGGCTAGGGGCTGGGGTGTTGGATGGCCTTGCAATCCTAAAACAAGGTGTTATATGGCACATTGGCAGTGGCTCAGAGGTGAGAATGTGGCGTGATGCATGCTTGGCTACCGAGAGGACAGTCTCTATCTCCTATATATTACTCAACCATCATCCTCACAAATGGATGATGGAGTTCGTTTGCTCACGGACAACGAAAAAGGTAGTTGGAAATCAGATGTCATCTTTTTTTTCCCCTCCGAAATTGTTGAATACATTTCAAGTATTCCCCTAAGCAAGTGTTGCCAAAAGGACAAACTAATTTGGAAAAATGACTTGCAATGGTAAATTCACAGTGAAGTCTACATATCCACTAGGCTGGAACTTAATTTTTGACTATGTGCCTCATGAGCATGATGACTTTAAGAGACCCGTCTGGAATGCTATTTGCTTCATGGAAGTCCCACCAAAAATTAGACATGCCATATGGAGGTTTGCATGGGGTATTCTGGCAACGAGAGTTGTTCTACAAATGCGAGGGGGACTCTTTGAATAAATTCTCACTGGTAATAACATTCTATTTTCCATCCAGAAAAGAAGAGAAAAAAAAATTAACTGCTATCACAGCCCTAGATTTTGTTGATCCGTTGGTATTGGATTTTATAGCTAAGTATTTAGTTGACTAAATTCCTTAAATTTTGGAGATTTAAACTTGAAAAACAATTCTAATTTATGATTAATTGATTAAAACATCCTCCTGCATAATCTACAGCAACTAGGAAGCTGGGCAACAAAATCTTGGGCTAAATTTCTAAGTTTTTGTCCATACCAAACAAACTTTTGAAAGGAAAAAACTGTAAAATGTAACTAGTATATATCAAAATAAAATGTTCTCCATCAATGATTCGTTCTTATCAGAGAATCATAAGTGGTATAATGAATTGATGAAAACATAAAAACTAATAATAAAATAAATCAAAACCATGATCAATTTGTTATACCCATTACATGGAAGATCTCCGCTAAAAGAAGCAGTTTACCAGTCATTAAAATTTCTCCATCACTGCTTGATTCGATGAAAAGAAACGGAGGAAATATCCACAGAAACCCGTTGTGTAGTGTGTAGAGTATACCGATAAACACCAGACCCTTTATTGTTGTCACAAAATGATTATATACAGATAAGTTGTTCGTTTAAAAAATATAGATAGACAATTGGGAAAACTCGACATAATTTTAGTAATAAGTGAATTAAACAATCCAGCCAGTGAAATCCTGAAGAACTTAGATATTAATTTCTGGCTTTTGGGGGCAGGGAGAGGGGGAGGAGGGTTGGAACGCCTAGGATTAGCTAAAGAGACGTGGCAGGGTACTTTTGATTACAAACTATAGAAAAAGATGATACAACGCAATCAGGGGTGCTTATCGAGCTATTCCCAGTATGTCAGAATATCAGAAGTCTATTTGTACTCAGTTGAGAGATACTCTCACCTGCAATTTTAACACATTTAACTACAGATTTACAGGGGAAGACACACACACCTAAGCTTCATCCTGTGATGATTACACAAGGCGGCACATGGATGCACTTGTGTGTATGCAAACTTGTGCAGTGCAGATAAATTAGCTGAAACAAAGTGACACTGAGGTGTTGATTGCAATGAGAAATTCAGTCTACCTCTGTATTAATTCCTTTGAAGGCCTCTCTCACTTGTTCACTTATTAGGCAAAACAGCTGGGGAAAATAAGGTACTTGTTATGGTTCTTGCAGTGGTTTTAAACTTTCTACTGAGCTTTTGCAAAGGTCCGGCTAGACACCCCATGCAACAATTTGACAAACCCAAGAAAACTCAGCTTTCCATCTGCGTGCCTAATCCAGTCATGAAGAACAGCATGAACAGGCACAGAAGGGCCCAGCCCCAGTTCCTGAAACAATATATGCAAGATGCCACAAAGTTAGTCTTAGGTCAAAATGTATTTCTTCTCTGAAAGGCAAGTAACATCAACTCTTCCCAGAAATTATAGTGCATAAGAGAAGACTAATTCTATTGGATATAGTCAGCATTGGGCTACAGACATCCCCTCCCCTCCATTCCCCACAACCCAAAGATGCTGTTAGACCTTCGTTTTTCCCGTAACTTTAACTAACATGTTAAATGAGGCTTAAATCCCACTGCAGGAAATTAAATTCCCAGTCACCCAGCATTTTTTTCCAAAATTCCGAAGTATGAAAGACACTTAAAACAATATGGCAGAAATTCCAGACATTAATCATTAATCATTTTAAAAGTTCTTCAGTAGTCTTCCTAACGTAGGTGGCAACAGATGGGACCAGCGGCTAAGTGCAGCAAGTGACTATAAATCATAAAACTGGTGCACATCAGTGAATTAAGCAGATGAAAATTGAATCTGGTTCCTAAAGGGGAGAGGAGTTTCTGTTGGCAGACCATAGATGCAATTAAAAAAGTGACAGATACAACCTAAAGCACATAATGCTTTTATATAAATATCCATCCCCTCGATTGCTTGAAAAGACAAAGGGAAGTAAAACACTTGGAAAGGGAGTCCTAAAAAGTTGATTAATAAGAATAATCAAATCCTTGATTAGCATAAAAGGAAAACATTGTACAGACAATGTCAACCAATAATTCATTATCCAATCAGGCCACTGTACCGAATAAAAGAAAAAACCAATCATATTCCAAAAAACTGAATTTCTTCAACTTGCTCAAGTTGATTCCCAACAGCCATTTACATCAAATAGAACCACACCTTCAACAAACTAAGAGCAGATTTCACCAACAAATGGAGACTAAAAAAATTAATTATCTTGATCATCAAAAAAAAGGAAAAAAAAGATAAATATCTTAGGAGCATCCATGCATAAAAGATTTCCCTTAATATTCAACCAAAGAGACAAAACTTACTGATGCTAGTTCTTCAATAACAATAGCTCTGTTTCCATCCTTCTCAAAAAGCTCATATGCACAACGAGCATGTTGTTCCCACCGATCAAGAGCCTCCAGCTGATGGACACTTAAAGCAGCTGCACAGAATTCCTCAAAATCCATCCGTCTATATTGAAGTGCATTAAGCTACAGTGGTAAAGAAAACAGAATTAGAATGATTCAATTTCTTATACAGACTTCTACACCAAAGAGGAACAGCAGAAACACATACTGATGCAAGAAAATCATGGATTCGTGACTCCTTCATAGCATCGGTAGAATTTTTCATCAAGGCCTGACCAGAGTAAGAAAGTTAGACTATTGTTCTTGGCATCACAGGGAAAATTTCTGAAAGCTTGTTAAAAAAAAAAAAAAGAAGAAGAAGAAGAAAAAACACCAACCACTTTAATATTTTCTAAGCTTATAGTGCCATTTTTGTTAGGTTCCAGCAATGCATACTGCTCTTTCAAATAAAATAGCTCTTCCACGGTCAATGTTTTAGACAGTGCCTGGAAAATATAACAAGGAAAACAGTCAAACAGACAAATAACTTCTAGTTGGAAACCCTTTCACTTAATAATTGGATGGGCTATAAAGAACCATACCTATGAGAAAATCAGAATTCAGAAAATAACCTGTAGTAGCAACTAAAGACCACTTTTATTTTCATTCTAGTGTCACCTAAATTGTTCTAGTTAAAAACTTCCCTGAATCAAATTTACAGTGGGGAACCTATTGAAGGCAGGAAAAGAGTCCTTCACAATGGCATAAACAATATCAAAAAGAATATACAGAGACTCGTCATATTCATAAGAATCATTATGTACACACCCTTAAAGCCGCTTTCCGAAGAGATGATGATCGCATATAAGCCTTCATGAGCTTGAATATTAGTATATCCAAAGGCGCTTTTACATCCTTATAATATTTAATCCAGGGATGACCTGCATCAAGCAAATACAATTAAAACCAACATATACAGAAGCATAATGAACTTTGATAGCTGATAAGACACTCACATAAGGCCTGGGCAGCAGTCAATCTTTTGCGAGGGTCCTTGTTCAGTAAGCGCTTGACAAAATCGCTAGCCTCAGGAGACAGAGATGGCCAAGGTACTTCATCAAAACTTGGATCAGCTTTTAGAACAGCCCGGAAGATTCCAGACTCTGTTCGAGCCCAAAATGGACGGCTTCCGCACAGCAGAATATATGCAATCACACCTATACTCCAGACATCAGCTTCTGTACTATAAGCCCTATGTAGAACTTCAGGCGCTACATAGTATGCACTACCAACAATGTCATTAAGTCTTTCATCTGCAAATCAAAGCAAATATAGAAACCATTAACAAAGTAATGGAACGGCCAAATCAAACAACAGTGTAAGAAATGGTAATTTAAGGACAGACCTGGTTTTACAAAATCTGACAACCCAAAATCTATGGCCTTCAATTCTGAGTTCTCATCCTTTGATGTGAACAAAAAATTCTGAGGACATATAACCATCCTTCAGGATCAAAAGAATACACAGAAAAATAACAAAGGAAATTGCATATATCACTTGGCATAATAACATGCCAATAAAAAAAAACCTTGGAATAATAACAAAATGAGCAATCAATTGCACAGATACCACTCTATGATATTCTAATAAAATAAGGTACTCATTAAGAAGTATTTGGACGGACATAATTCTAAATGGTTTTAATCACTCCAGGCTCCCAGCTTTGTCTACAAGTTAAATTCTCTTATACTTAAAAAATGCATCATTGGCTTGGGCAGGAGTTCTCTCAATATGGAAGCCCACCACTAAAACAAAATAATTTATAGTAAACAAGCCCACCAAGGAAAAACCAATGATGAATATGGAAATATATTTCACCTCAGGCTTTAGATCCCGATGAACAACACCTTGGAGGTGACAAAAGGCAACAACATTTAGTATCTGAATCATGACTGCTTTTGCATCATCCTCAGTGTATTTTCCACCCCTGCAGAAAGAGAAGCATGTATTTTGTAAGTGATCAGCTACTAACCAAATTTGTCATGTTTTATCATAAATACCAACCTAAGAAACACTCAGTTAAAAGGCACCATATTACAAGATAATTAGCATTACAAGAAGTACCTTGCAAGTATTCTATCCAAGAGCTCCCCTCCTTCACATAACCTAACAGATGCATGAAATCTTGTCAGATAAAATCAGAAACGACCCCATTTAATAGGCCCCAAGAAATGAGATAAACCACAAGTAATCCAAGGAAAGGGTAACCATCAGAGCTTACTCCATAACTATGTAGACATTGTCATGATCTTCATACGCATCATAGAATTGTACTAGATTGTTATGCCCAGTCAAAGCTCTCAATATTTTTACCTCTCTTCTCACATCCTCAATGGCAATTGCAGTAGTCATCTGACGACAAAACTAAAAGTCAGAACAAGGACAGAAAAAAAAAAAAAAATATATATATATATATATATATATATGTATGTATATATATAACTGATAACTTTATATGAGAAATACGAAGACAATGGAATGGCACAATTCCCCCTCCCCCAATAGATTAGAAAAAAAAAGGATCAATTTTTGTCTTGAGAAAAAAAGGCAAATCAACACATACTACAACTACGTCTCCAATCCAAGGTCCCCAATTCAAAAATTTTTGCCACCAGTAATTCAGTACACAATCCATTCTTGCATATTAATAAATGCAATCAAGCAAACTGATCACTGATAAAAGCAGAGGTTTACCAGCAGATCTCATCTCTATACTGTCAGAAACATATAGTCGAACCAACAAATCAAGCATACTAAGCAGTAAGCACCCAAAATAATGAACTACAAGCTTACCTTCGCTTTGGGTATAACCTTAACAGCAACTTCTTGTCCTTTGAGTTCCCCTTTCTTGAACTTGGCTGAGCAGGTATAACCAAAATGGCCTCTCCCTACTTCCTCACCGAGCTCGTACTTGTTCCCAAAATGCTTCGAGAATCCAAAGTTCTTGTCAAGTCCCGTGGCCGGAACACCCTCCGCTTCACTCCCCTCCGGTATTGCCGCTTCGTTCGGCTTCACCGACCCATGCCGCCGTGCTAGAACAGCTCTTATGTGCTTCGCCGGAGACGGCGGAGGGAACGGCCGCTTGAAGAACCTCTTCGGGGTCGAATTCGCCGAAGATCTCGCGGGAGACTTCTTCGAGAACAAGTAGTGAGCTGGACTCGGACTGTAAAACGGAAAAAACGGCGATTTCTTACCTTCATTGTTAGGGATGCTGCTCTTGTCATCCTCCTTCTCACGATCATTCACATCGTTCTGACTCTCCAAGCTAACCGGCGGTTTACCATTACTCTTGGCTGGCACAGAACTAGAACTCTGATGAACATCGCTATCCTGCGCCGGAATAGGGGTAGTCCTGGGATCGAATTTAGGAGAGAGAGGAGGGTTTGGGGAGGGTTTGGAGGTGCAGAGTCCCATCGAAGTTCCTCTCCCCAAACGGAGAGCAGGGGTTTAAATCCGTCTCCGACTACAGCATAGGATAAAATCAATTAAAGTAGAAGAAAAAGGTGCAGAAAATTCCACTTCTTTTGAATTTGATTGGTGAATTTCGTCGGAACTGAGGAAGCTTTTTGTCTCCGGCGATTGAGGGATAATGGGATCTACAAATGGCGATAAAAAGGAAACGACGCCGACTACACTTTATTTTGTCATTGAAAAACTAAAATTAATCTTTTTTTAATTACAAGCTAATTACTTAATTATCTTTGATGTGTCTTTAATCTTTATTAATTAAAAATGATTAAATGAAAATGAAAATGAGATGTGGGGTGGTGGGCCAGAGAGGTGATGAGGGGTGGTCCAAATGATTTTGAAAGAACTGATTGCCACGTGGCAAGATCGTGGTGGGGTTGTTTTTTGAGAGTAGCAGGATCAAGGGAGTGAGGGGAGTCGGTGCGCTGAGATTGAAGACGAAATTTCCTGGATTCGTTAAGCTTTGCCTTTTTGGGCAAAATGGGCATTTCATTTGCATTGATTTTGTCTTGGTTGAAAATCAGCAAACAGGTTCGAAAGTCAAAAGGATTCAAAACCGCTGTTTATAATTAATTAACGGTCTTTCGGGACTTGGGCTATTAGTGTTTTTTTTTTTTTTTTTTAAATATAAAAATTTATAAAAATAAATTTTATTTTAAATAATTCAAACAAAATTACTATTAATTATTTCTTTTCCTTTTCTTTCTCTTCCTTCCCTTCTCATCTCTTTTCTCCTTTTCTTTTATTAATTTTTATCTGATCATACTTTAAAACTTCTTAAAAGTTGATAAACACTATATTTAACTTAAATATTCGTTCGCAGTATCATTTAAGCAGACTACATA